ATAGGGGATCATGAAGCCCCTGAGTCCTTGCCCAAACTCAAAAAAGCCTATGAAAAAGGTACCAGGGGCATCTCATGGGGCCCCCTACTGACTCCGGGCCCTCAGGCAGTGACCGAGTTTCCAAATGGTCAGTCCGCCCCCTGCAGCTATACAGCTTCCACCTGACAGGCAGCTTGTCATATTTACGCTTACTAGACAAGTGCAGTTCATTTCATTCTGAAATTAAATTCAGACAAAATGTTTGTTACTTGGAGATTCAGATGTATCCAAATTACGATAGTAACAAATTCAAACAAATCTGAAATAATGCAATGAAATTCGAAAACAAAATAAATTTAAAAAACACATTCAAAATATAAACATATTGCTGACCATTGCTGATTTCCTACAAATACTATGTGTATTAGTGTTAGAATACTGCTGCCCTCCAAAATTCAAATTTTGAATAGAATAGAATAGAAAAGAACAAAATAACACAGAATAGAATAAAATAGAAAATTAAAGAATAGAAAAATAGAATAGATTAGAAAAGAATAAAATATAGACGTCTTCTGAAATTGGAATTTCGGAAAGAACATAATAGAATAAAACAAAATAGCATAAAAAATAAAAGAATGGAATAGAATAGAAAATAAAGGAATAGAATAGAAAAGAATGGAAAAGAATAGAAAATAAAAGACTAGAACAAAAAAATAGAACAGAATAGAAAGAATATAACCGTCTTCCAAAATTCAAACTTTGAGTTTTGAATAGAATAGAACCAGCTATTCTTCACATGAATTTGGATCGATTCGATATTTTCAATTCAAATTCGATTAGAATACTTTGAATCCATTGGAAAAATCCAAATCTGGTCAACATCAAATAAACAAAATAAAATTAATTTTGCAACGACACACAATTAGTAACTCATCGAATCGATCTGAAACGAAATGAAACAATTTTTTCTTTGTTCTGCCCATGGCGAACGCTTACTCCCAGCTGCTGTAGCAGCCAGGAGAGTGTGCAAAGCCATGCTGCTGCTGAAATATGACATACATCAGTGGCAGGAAAGAGGGTTAATGGTCTTATTTTAAATCTTCAGCAAGATATAGTAAAAATAGGTTAAAAACTGGCACATTTCTACCAACAGAAAAAACGAAATAAATCAAGAGAAAACTTCCATATACATAACCCTATACTCATAGCTGATCAGAAGGAAAGGCAAAAACCATATAAAGAATGATCCATTCTGCTCCAACAGGAGAAAAAAAAATTCTTCATTGATTCCCTAAAAGCAATCAGATGATATCACGTGGATCAATAACTTCTGGAGCTCTTTTCTTTAAATGTTAATATCCAGTTATAGTCTCTACTAATAACTTCCTACTCTGTCAGTTATACTTTACCTTCCATTGACAGGCTTACCTACTATATATTTTTAACATTGCCAGTGCTGTCCTACTTAGCAATTTGATTTCCCAGAATTACATCCCTGATGAATCAAATGACAATTTTATGTTGTTTATGCTGTAGAATGCATACTAAATGCTGAACTTAAAGTAGATCTAGTAGTAGCCAGTAACTGGCTTTATACCTATATTGATAGATTTCACTTTTAATCCTTCTGCGCTCATTTTTCTACATTGGCTCTGAGGAAATAAATCAATAGTGTATTTTCCAGGCGGAAGGAACATATTTTATGTTTCATCTGTTCCTGGTGAGCTGCGAGTTCAGTACTTGTGCAACAACAGGATTTCCCTGTTTAAGTAATTGTTCGCTTGCTGGGTGTGCACTGTGTGGGAAATTCCTGCTCCCTGTGTGCTTCTACAGCGTGTGTGATAACGGAATGTAAGAAGTCAGTCTGCCTAATGAAGAGATGACTTTCTTATCTGAACAATGGCACATTATAGCTCCAGTTGTAGCACATCTCTGTTTGATGTTCCTCCAGTTATTATGGAAAAGTTCTGTGAACTGATGGACTGCAGTGATGGGGAGTTAGGATGGAGAGGGCTGGGTAAGTGTGGCATGGCTAACACCTTGTTTGGAATAATTGTTTTATTTAATTGTCTTTGATTCAACTTTAAAGTGGAAGTCTGGGCTAATACTATCTAAGGCTAAACCTACTCCCACCCACATTTTAAGCCCTATATTAACTACTCTTTAAAGGGAAGACATGTATACTTACCTAATCTGAGGGCACTCTGGTCTGGTCACGTGATTTCCAACCAGCCTGGGGGAGAGGAGATGCAGGAAGGTAAGTGATTTTGGGTGCAGGTCCACTTTGAAGTATCTTGAGGGATAGGGACTGATGTGAATGTACAATATATATGTAAAGCGCTGCGTAAATTGATGGCGCTATACAAGTACCTGTAATAATAATAATATGTACAGTATATTTAGTTTTTGATGATACAATGAGATTCACTCTGCTTGTCCTGGTGATCATTGTCTCTGATACAGTAAGTGATCGATGGGAAAGGAAACATATTCCAGTTGTAAATACACGTTTTAGTAAATGAACTTATTTCCCGCAGCTGAACGGCTATCTTCCGATTGGAGGGATTTTCGCAGAATTGAGAAGTATGCTGAACAAGGAAAAAGTAAAACAAAGGAGCTTGTCTGGAGTTGGGCACATAAAAATAAGACAGTCGGTGACCTGTTATTGGTTCTACAAGAAATGGGACAGCAGAGGGCCATCTCCTTATTCAGAGGTAAGGAAATACTAAAGAGACTTTTAACCACTTCCAGACCGGACACTTTTACCCCCTTCCTGTCCAGGGCAATTTTCAGCTTTTAGCGCTATCACACTTTGAATGACAATTGCGCGGTCATGCAACACTGTACCCAAATGAATTTTTTACCATTTTTTTGAGATAGATAAAGCTTATTTTGGTGGTATTTATTCACCACTGGGATTTGTATTTTCTTTGCTATGTAAATGAAATGTCCAAAAAATTTGAAAAAAAAGTGTTTTTTTTTATAAAATTTTGCAAATAAATAATATTTCATCATAAATCTTAGCCAAAATTTATTCCGTTATCTTTTTAGTAAAAATAAAAAAAAATCCAAATTAGTTTATAAGCAAAAATTATAATTTTTAAACATTTTTTTTTACATTTTTATTTTATTTTTTTATATTATTATTTTTTATTTTAATTTTTTTTTTTTTACATACTGTCACCCTAGTAGTACAGTGTCACCATGGTGACACTGTACTACTTGTGAGGGGTGATGAAGAATTTTTATTTTTTTTTACACTGATTGCTTTTACACCCATATAGGATGTAAAAGCAATCATTTCTCTTTCTCTCTGTGTGCATTCTTGCACTCATTGAGAAGAACTGAGTGAGCTGTGATTGGTCACAGCTTGTCACATGGTACAAGGCTTTTGTGAATAGCCTTATACCATGTGACCTCTGTGATCATTCACAGATTTCACACATAGTAAGCAATGATGTCAGAAGTGACATCTTGCTTACTACTTTGCATGTGATCACTGATTAGCCAATCAGTGATCACATGATCGGGACCTCGTACAGAGGTCCCGTCCGACGATCGGTGTTTCACTGTGTCCGGAGGACACAGCGGGCACCGGATCGCGGTGCTGCGCGCTCCCAGGGAGCGCGCACAAGCAGGGTGCGGGGAGGCCGTTTATAGACGGCCACCCGACCCTGCAGTGCCACCGTCCAGCCGTTTATATACAACGGCCGGTCGGGAAGTGGTTAAGTTAATGGCACATTGCAACAGTCAGAATAAGCTAGTAGCTGCCTAGTAAAAAACACTTGCAATCTATAGGTTTGAATACAAGGGTCATTTTTTTACAGATGTTAAAGCGACTGTTCACTCTGGAAGAAAATTAAAAGTCAGCAGCTATTAATCCTGTAGATACTGACTTTTAATAAAATGACACTTACCTGTCCAAGAGTCCAGCACCGTCCTCACCCTAGTTCTGCACTAGCTTTCACTAGCGCCGGCATCCTAACAGCGGGCAGCCGACTATGCTGCTTTCGGCTTCACAGTTAGCTGCCCACCCTGTGCATGCTTATGCCACGCTGGTCTTTATGAATGGTCCTGAAGTCTTGTGTCCCAGAAGACTTCAGGGAGGGGGGAGGGTGGAAGTGGGAGTGGATACATGTCAAAACTATGTACCTGCTCCCCCCCCCTCCAAAATTATATGCCAAATATGGCATAGAAGGGGGGAAGGAGGATTTAACCACTTCAAGTCTGGACACTTTCACCCCCTTCCTGTCCAGGCCAATTTTCAGCTTTCAGCGCTGTCACACTTTGAATGACAATTGCGTGGTCATGCAACACTGTACCCATATGAATTTTTTGGCATTTTTTTGAGACAGATAAAACTTTATTTTGGTGGTATTTATTCACCACTGGGATTTTAATTTTTTTTGCTATATACAGTCAGGTCTATAAATATTGGGACATCGACACAATTCTAACATTTTTGGCTCTATACACCACCACAATGGATGGTGGGAGGCACATATGCAAACTGTTGTAATTCCTACACCATTCACCTGATTTGGATGTAAATACCCTCAAATTAAAGCTGACAGTCTGCAGTTAAAGCACATCTTGTTCGTTTCATTTCAAATCCATTGTGGTGGTGTATAGAGCCAAAAATTTTAGAATTGTGTCGATGTCCCAATATTTATGGACCTGACTGTAAATTAAAAAGTCCAAACATTTTGAAAAAAAGTGTTTTTCTTATCAAATTTAGCAGATAAATAATCTTTCTTCATAAATCTTGGCCAAAATGTATTCAGCTATCTTTTTAGTAAAAAAAATAACCCAAATTAGTTTATAACCAAAAATTATAATTTTTCAAAATGATTTTTTAACATTTTTATTTTATTTTTTTTAGATTATTATTATTTTTTTTTTTTAACATACTGTCACCCTAGCAGTACAGTTTCACTATAGTGACACTGTACTACTTGTGGGGGGTGATGAATATTTTTTTTTTTTTACTCTGATTGCTTTTACACCCATAAAGGCTGTAAAAGCAATCATTTCTCCTTCTCTCTGACTGCATTCTTGCAGCCATTGAGAAATACCGTGAGAGCTGTTATTGGTCACAGCTTGTCACATGGTACAAGGCTATTGTGAATAGCCTTGTACCATGTGATCTCTGTGATCATTCACAGATTTTACACGTAGTAAGCAATGTCAGAAGTGACATCTTGCTTACTAGTATTCATGTGATCGGGACCTCACACAGAGGTCCCGTAGAGCGATTGGTGTACAGCGGACACCGGATCACGGTGCCGCACGCTCCCAGGGAGCGTGCACAGGCTGAAAATGCGGGCGTTGTTTATGAACGGTGACCCGCTCCTGCACTGCTACCGTCCGGTCGTTTATATACATGGGCCGGATGGGAAGTGGTTAAAGAGGAACTTCCCCTTTTGGGTGAAATTCCACTATAACTGCGGTGTTTGGATTTTGAATTGGATCTTTGGGAACACTATACGCTTAAACTGATTGCAAGCCAAACTCAAATGCACACTAACCAGAAACATAACATATTAAATGCATTTTTAGAGCCAATTTTGCCTTAATGAGATGTGTATATATTATCTAGCTATTTACTTTCACTATTTAGCTAGTGGTAGACGGGGAAAATCAAACTTGGCTTGACAATGTAATGTTGTTGACATTTCAACATTTATACAAGTGGCTTCCTCAGTTCAAACAATCTTTTGACAGAGGAAACCACTTTGAGTGGTGAAATTTATTTAACATTACAGTACAAGTCAATTAGTTTTTTTAGCTTAACACATTGAGCACAATAAAATAAACATTCCTTGGTAAACTTACATTTCTTACCCCACTTGCAGTGTACAAATCTCAGTGCTGCTGGTTCCTGTTCTCACAGTGCTGCTTGCCTGAATTTCTGGTCTTCAGAGGAAAGCGTTAACAATGAACAGTACTGTCTTCAGCTAGTAGGTTAGCATGGAGAAGAAAAGGGTAGGAAGGAGCAGAGGAATGCCTTGCCATCCTAGTCTACTGGGCTGTACATTTCAATTGATGCACACAGTATAGGGAGACACAATTGTAGCCCCTGCAAGCAAGGTTGGTTCCATAGGGTGCTGCAAGAGAAAGGAGCCACCTTGAAACAGGAAACCTGGGACAGAAGTCAGTGTACCAGCTTAAACTGTAACTAGAGCAGCTAAAGGGTAGTTTTTTTCTTTGTGTCCAGAGTTGGAGTTTAAGTTAAACTTAAGTCTAATTGGTTGCTATGAGTTATTGCACTTTGTTCTTAGCCTTAAAATCCAACCCAGGATGTTTTAAAAAACTCACCCTTACATTGGGGACCCTTGCACTGCAAGGGTTAGATGCTTGTTATGTCCAGGTGTGTACGGAAAGGGAGTAAAAACTTACCTTACTCCTCATTTCAGCAGGATCCCTCCAGCGCTTCAACCAGTCCCCTGCAGCCTGCTCTGTAAGCAGGGGCTTGGCTTGGATGCACTTCAGCCACCTCAAAGAACCATAAAAGCCCTGTATGGTATTTTATGATGCAGAGGCTGTGCCAGCAGACTGGAGCTTCAGGCAGAGGAGGAGAGCACCTGAGCTGGCTGGAGTGGAGTATACAGTAAGTGATAGAGTCTGCATTGTGATTGTAAAGTCTAAACTGTTTTTGTTTAAAAATAACAAACCTGATATACTTACCTGCTTTGTGCAATGGAATTGTACAGAATGGCCCCGATCCTCCTCTCCTCAGGTCTCCTACCAGCGAGGCTCCTGGCTCCTCTTCTCCTGCTTCCTATGGTGGCACACCTGCAAACTTGATCCTAAGCTGCGCTGCCTGCATCCAAAGATACAGGGAGCGCAGCTCAGCTCCTCCTCCCTATTCCCTCATTACAGGATTTGACTGACAGCAGAGTGAGCCAATGGTTCCTGCTGCCTCAGCAAAGCTTGTGAGAGTGGGGAGGAGAGGAGACAGCCGGAACAGCTGGGAACAGTGCTGGATAGAGTGAGGGTTCAGGTAAGTATTGGGGGGGGGGGGTATACTTTTAGTGGAACATTTTTCACCTTCTTGCAGGGAATGCATTAAGGTAAAAATGTTTAGGCTTTAGAACCACTTTAACCTTTGCAGTATTGCAGTGTGGGAAGGCCCCACTACAAAGGTACATTATTTTAAATTCCTGGAGCTGGGCTTTAACAAATACAGCTTCATGAGTGTGATCGTGCTTCTGCCTTTGCAACTAACATTTACTTTCTGAATAATTGCACATTCAGAGTGTCCTTTGTTTCATCTGTCTTGTAGGGTTCAATGCTTTGAAAGCTTTTCATGACCAACCACTAAATTAATAGCTCAGTAAAATGAAATAATGCATGGTGGGATAACATCTTTCATGTTTTTATCTTTTTCATAGAGATAAATGTCCTGTCACCTGTCAGCTTGCAGGAGATTAAAGAAGGAACTAAGAACTTCAGCAGAGACTTCTTAATTGGAGAAGGACAGTTTTTTGATGTTTACAAAGCAGACATTAAGAAACAGTCATGTGTTGTCAAGTTGCTCAAACAGGTGAAGAAATAATTACATAGCTACCATTTACCGTTACTTTGTAATCAATTAAAGCAGCTCTAGCTAACTTTACAAGCTGCGTGAACACATTCTTTGCATGTCGCAATATGCTAGAGAATATTTAAATAAGCATCATTTTTTTTTATTAAGAAGCAACCCTTGAGATTCAGTCAAGATGTGCTTGAAAAAAGCACTCTGGGGAATTTTTGCCATCTGAATCTGCTGTATCAAAAGAGTGATTTCCTCAGCCCCCATCCTACTCAGACTGTCTACTGTACCTTTTTGGCAGTGCACACAGTGAAATGCTGTGGCAGGGGAACTCAGCTGCATGATAATTCCATTCATTTTACCCTAACAGGCCACAGGGTAAGAGGCAATACTACCTTGTATGCACACAGCCAAAAAAATAAAGGCTACTGAGCTGACAGCAGAATTTACTTGATTGTATCATACTTAGGCCAGCATTGCAAACCGAGAATTTGATGATGACCCTAGTTGACGCCTGAGCAAGGATGGCATCAGATTTTTAATGTGGGAGGAAAGTAAAGGTGATGTCAAGAGAGCACAGTGGTCCCCTTGATAGATTCTTGTTAATGTAACTACACATCACTTGCTTGCATATAGCATGAAATAAAAATATATCTGAAGCTAGGTCTGCTTTATGGTACGATAATGGTAAGCTCATTTTATTAATAAATACCATATGGACCGCGCATAAAGCCGTGCAAATAATAGAAATTTAGTGACAATAAATAACTTGTGACATTCAATAAACATTTATTATACTGGTATTAATAATTCAGTCCCAGTATGTGAGAATAAAGTGCAAAGTGCTCAATTCTTGCTTGTGAACTGGTGACTCTGGTACTCCACTGTGCTCAAACTGGTGCCCCACATGGACTTGCACTCACCGTCATCCCATGACCACCTATCTCTAGGATGGTTGTTTGCACTTTTGGGGACTATCCCAGTATGCAGCGTTGTTAATACTAACCGGTGTTCCTTCACATGTCAATGCAAAAATTCTTCCTCTCCTCCACAGTATTCAGCATATAGATAAAAACAAAAACCGACATCCCATTGTGTAAAACCATTACAGCTTTAATGGTGGGGACATACTGTAAAAATACAACTCACAAAAGAAGTGCCCATAACTTGGCACTTGGTGTATTCAGCCTTGGAGTACTGCACATTACGGATACTTGATATTATTGATTTATTCATAAGCGCAGCAGCATTTTTTTCAAAGCTCATTTTATTGGTGGACATTTTGTGCAGTTATTAGTCTCATTATTGCTTCTAGACAAACGGTTAATGCAAACATGCTTTGAAGAAGTGACACAAGTATGAACATTAGGGCTATTTCATACCTCACACCATGTCTATTGAGCTGTGTTTTTTTTCGCATTCCGCTGCACATACAGTGCCTTGAAAAGGTATTCATACCCCTTGAAATTTTCCACATTTTGTCATGTTAAAAATTTCAATGTATTTTATTGGGATTTTATGTGATAGACCAACACAAAAGGGCACATAGTTGAGAAGTGGAAGGAAAATGATAAATGGTTTTCAACATTTTTTTTACAAATAAGTATCTGAAAAGTGTGTTGTGCTTTTGTATTCAGCCCCCTTGAGTCAATACTTTGTAGAACCACCTTTCGCTGCAATTACAGCTACAAGTCTTTTTGGGGATGTCTCTACCAGCTTTGCACATCTAGAGAGTGACATTTTTGCTCACTCTTCTTTGCACAAAAGCTCAAGCTCTGTCAGATTGGATGGAGAGTAGCTGTGAACAGCAATTTTCCAGTCTTGCCACAGATTCTCAATTGGATTTAGGTCTGGACTTTGACTGGGCAATGAATAATACGCTTTGACCTAAACCATTCCATTGTAGCTCTGGCTGTATGTTTAGGGTCGTTGTCCTGCTGGAAAGTGAAGCTCTGCCCCAGTCTCAAGTCTTTTGCAGACTCTAAGGTTTTCTTAGAGTAAGACTCTAGGTTTTCTTCACGATTGCCCTGTATTTGGTTTCATCCATCTTCCCATCAACTCTGACCGTCTTCCTTGTCCCAGCTGAAGAAAAGCATCCCCACAACATGATGCTGCCACCACCATGTTTCACGTTGGGGATGGTGTGTTCAGGGTGGTGTGTAGTGTTAGTTTTCCGCCACACAGCGTTTTGCTTTTAGGCCAAAAAGTTCAATTTTAGTCTCATTTGACTAGAGCAGCTTCTTCCCCATGTTTGCTGTGTCCCCCATATGGCTTCTCACAAACTGCAAATGGGACTCCTTATGGCTTTCTTTCAACAATGGCTTTCTTCTTGCCACTCTTCCATTAAAACGCCAGATTTGTGGAGTACATGACTAATAGTTGTCCTGTGGACAGATTCTTCTACCTGAGCTGTGGATCTCTGCAGCTCCTCCAGAGTTAGCACAGGCCTCTTGGCTGCTTCTCTGATTAATGCCTTGCCCGGCCTGTCCATTTAGGTGGATGACCACGTCTTGGTAGGTTTGCAGTTTTGCCAAACTCTTGATTTCAAGGGGTATAAATAGTTTTTCAAGGCACTGTATATGGTGTGAATAGGCACATGGAAAACAATTGTTTTGATTGAGCCCTGTTTATACTATACATTTGCACTGGTGAGTAGAAAAAATGTAGCTCGACAGACATGTTGAT